TCCAGGCCCCACTCCCCCTCGTCCTCGTCCTCAGGCTCGGCCTCGGTCCCGCTCCGCCCGTTCTCGTACAGAAAGATCTGCTCATCCACGTGCGCCGGGGCCAGGCGGTTACGCTTGGCGCTCACCACGTTGGCCGCGGAGCCAAAGAGGCGCTCGGGGAAGACGCGGGTGGCCGCCACGCACCAGTACTTCTGCAGGACCTTGGGCAGCACGGGGAACAGCGCCAGGCGGTCGGCCCACCACTTGAGGGGGTCCTCGCCGAGCCCCAGCACCTTCTGCGACTTGAAGTTGCTCAGCTCCTCCACGACCTGGGCGTGCCGCTCCTCCTGGTCTTCCACGCCGCCCGCCTGGCAGAAGATCTCGGCGAGCATGTTGTTGATGACGCTCGTGGGCGATGGCGCGGACGCCAGCACGAGCTGCTTTGCCGGTGGCTCGTCGGGCAGCGCGCACAGCTTGTCCTCGGCCGGCCGGCAGCTGCCGCCGTCCACCTTCTCCAGCAGCCCCTTGGCCTCTTCCACCACCCTGTTCTCCACGTGCTGACGCTCGAAGGCCGAGAGGAAGGGCAGCTTCTTGTAGCGTGGATCCAGGAAGGTGGCCACGTTGAGGAACATGTCTATCTCGGGCATCTCCTGGTAGGTCTTGGACAGCGTCTTGGCGATGACCTCTTTGGCCATGCTGATCTCCTTAGAGTCGGTCTCCTTGACGTTGAGCGTGGTGTTCAGAAGCATGTGCAGCAGGGGTTTCACCATGCTGATCGGGGGGTACTTGCAGGCAGACAGCATGTCGGCCACCTGCTTGAAAGGCTGCATCAACCCCACCAGCCCCTCGACCGTGGTCCACTCGGCCGCTTCTAGCATGAGGTGGTGGCTGTTGCTGTCCTCCACGAGCACGGCCGTGATGACAAACTGCTGCTCGTTCAAACGCTCAAGCATGGCCAGCGTGCTGCCCCACCAGGACACGCGGTTACTCACCAGCATGCAGTGAGCGACGTTCTTCTGTTTCTGTTTGTCGTACAGCATGTACATGGCGACCGCGGACTGCTGGAAGTACTCCACCAGCCGCCGACAGCGCAGAAGCAGCCCGGCCAGCTTGGGCAGCTGGAAGGCCTGCTGGATGGCGGCGTTGAAGGCGTGCCCGAGGCACGGCATGTGCACGGGGATGTCCAGCAGCGAGCAGGCCTTGGTGATGTCGTTGCCGTAGTCACTGGTGGCCCCGAAGACTTTGCTGCTGACGCCCCACTCCACGAACACCTCATAGAGCACCCGTGTGATAGTCTCGGCCGTGTTCTCCTCCGGCACCTCGAACGTCTTGAGGCAGCGCGAGCTGACGGACAGTGAGTTGGGGGACGCGCTGGTGAGGAAGTGGGCGGCCAGCGTCACGTAGGCTCGGTTCTGGTTCTCGCTGTACCACATGTCCGTGGAGACGCCGCACCACGGCGCCTCGCCCAGCTCCTTGAGGACTGCCTCGCGCACGGCCGCGTACTTCTCCGGGATGGCCTTGGTGCAGAAGAATTTGCGACTGGGCAGCTCGTAGCGGGGCTCGGCCGTCTTGAGCAGAAGCCGGAAGGTGGGCTCGTCCACCACGGATGCAGGGTACAGCCCCTCGCAGATGAAGCCCATGACGGCTGCCGTGAGCTCTTGCTGCCGCTTGGTCTCGGAGCCGTGGCCCGACTTGGCGGCCAGCGTGTCCTGGGCTGCTTGCTGCGAGGACTCGGGCTTCAGCTTGGAGAAGGCGGTGGCAAAGGCCTCCCGCATCTGCTCTGTGTTGCTCTTGACGAACTCACAGAACTCTTCCGGGTGGTTCTTCTCCAGGTGGTAGGAGAGGTTGGACGTGTTCCCCGAATAGGCGATCTGAGCCATGCAGATGCGGCAGTAAATCTTCTTCCACTGCAAGATGCACCCCTCGGCGTTGGTGTCAAACCCGAAGTACTTCCACACCTTGCTCTTGGCACGCGGGTGCGCCACAAGCTTCAAGTCGGCCTGAGAGCCCTGGTCCAGGCTCTTGCTCTCCATCACGGGTCCCCTGGGCCAACCACTCATCTGCGGCCGGCACCTGCTGAAAAGCAGGAAGACAAACACAGCGTGAGAACGGGGCCCTGGGAGGACGGGGCTCTGCAGGTCGGGGAGCAAGGCAGCACCGGCTGTGCGTGGGGACGGGCGTTTGTGGGAAGAGGCTTAGGAATGAGCGTGTTCTTTCTTCCAAGGGAATTCTACACAGGGGTTCCAGATGCAGGGCAATAGGGGGGCAAATTTGAGGAGCTCTAGTGCTGCAGCTCGACGGCTAAGGGCAAGGGCAGCACTTTAAACCCATCCAGCAGCTCCGTGGCATAAAAGACTTGGTGATGTGTTCCCAGATGTGAAGATTGACAGCCTTGGAAACCCTGTGGTGCAGTTCCACTCTGTCCTCTAGGGGCGCTGTGGGTC